AGGGTCTAGGCCCGAAACGTCAGCCTTCCTGTTCCTCTGATGCTGCTTGGCCTGCTGTGTTCATCCAGCTCTACACCTTGTTATCTCAGATTCTCCAGCATCTGCAGTTCCGACTATCTCATGTCAATCTATGTGTTTTTTTTAGATGTTTTACAGGTATGTGTGCAGTTGGAACCTACAATGTACAGGAACCTCCTCACTTCAAATGATGACAATACTCTTGAAATTTGTAACATGAATTGAAACAACTTTAAGTAGAGTGTGAGCTTCCCATAGGAATCAATGTTAAAGCCTGAGCTTGTTTCTGCAGATACTTTTTGCTCAAATAGGCAATGTACAGGTTGAAAAACAGTAAGTGCAATATGTGCATTCCATGCTGAAGTGTCTGTAAAATAAAATTAATCAGAAAATATAAAAGTAACACTGTACAGTTGGGTACTTCAGGATCCTTCTCATCAGAACAGCAGGTTTAAAGCATTATTAAGTTGAAATGCTGTACATGCCTAAATGCCCACATTCATATTAATAAGATAACTTTTAAAACAAAATAAATTATAAGTAAAACAGCATAAATGCTTAAATACCAGTACTATAAACACAGCACACGTTGAAATTACAGTCTCTGGTGAAATTCTAATTGATAAGGTACCATCTAGTGACAGAAACTGTTCAGTTCAGGAGGAACTACCTGTACCAACTAACCTCTGTGGGTAGATGGAGCGCACAACTGCACTGAAATTTCAAATGGGAGCTAGGACAGAAATGGGAGACTTTAAAGAGAAGAATACACAGATGGGGACAGGAGCTGAGCTGGATTGGGCAGGCTATTGAACAAGGGGAGGGGGAATGCAGGAAAGAAGGATTGCAGCAGAGGCAAGATGAGGAGGAAGGCTGGGGGACTGGGTAACTGAGCAAACAAAATGTTTTGAAAGTAGGCACGCCGCAGAATAGGAAGCATGGTAATCAATGTTAAGCTGAAATTCATAATATTAAGAAAGTATGTTGTCACTCCTCTGTCTAAAGGTGGGAAGTTCTTTGACGTCATGCAGAGGCAGAGACACAGGATTGAGCAGTCAATGGAAAGTACAAGTCAAGAGAACTGTTTATAGAACATTTGTATATAATATATCCATAACTCTGAATACCGACTCGACATTCAGCAGAATCTTCCTATTTAATAGGACTGGATTTCTCCCCTTTCCCACAATATCATAACCAGGTTTCCTGAAGGGGACTTGTGAATTAGTTGATCACCTGCCCAAGTAAATTGGAAACTTGTTACAGAAACAGTAAAGCAGTGAAAGAAATGGATTGCCTCATATGCCACAAGCACCTGGAAGAAGGGAACACATAATGTGGTACAGGCTAAGCCACAGATATCTTTAATTTTCTTTAAAATAATAACATCTTTATTTTTAGAAGTTTATCAAATCAAAATCCGAAATGCTAGGGCTATTATGAAGGTAAATATAGCAGTTTGTTTTTGTCGGCAACACCCACCATGCACAACTCAGTTTAATAATAATGAGTAAATTGTGGAAAATGGTTTAAACTGAGTATTTTCCTCACAACAGACATTGTGAGATTGAAAATAACCATCTACAGATAATACCTAAAATATTGGTCAGCAGTCACATTTTAACTTGTGGCTTAATTTGGCATTTGTACTGAAAACTGCTGCTTTAGGAATGTAATCAATATAATAATTAGTTTGAATTAAGTTACAATCAAATAGTAAAGTGTATTAATTTGTTAACCTAATATTTCTTTATTCTGTTTAATTGTGGTTAATGTAAAAGACTTACGCACCATGTTACTGACTCAGACTCAGTTTGTACTTCCTCTTTATCCACAATGTGTTACTTCTTCAAAGATCTCCAAAAGACTGATCAAACATGATTTCCCTTTTACAAAATCATGTTGATTCTGTCTGATTGCACTGAATTTTTCTAAGAGACCAGATATAATTTCCAGATATATTATTGGCTTCTTTGTTAAACTAACCAGCCCGTAGTGTACTGTTCTCTGCCTCTCTTTATTTTTTGAATAAAGGAGTTGCATTCACTATCTTCCAATTTGATGAGACTGTCCTCAAATCAAGGGAATTTTGGAAAATAAAATTAATATCAATACATTAACTCTCATATAGGGCACTTCTTTTAAGACCCTAGGATGAAGTCCATCAGGAGCCGAGCACTTGTCAGTCCTCAGCTCGAACAATTACTCAGTAGCAATTCTCTGACTACTTTTCCTGAGTTCTCCCTCCCTTCCAATCTCTCATTTATCGCTGATGAAGGGATGTTACTTGTATTCTCTATAGAGAAGACTGATGCAAAATATCTGTTGTTTCCTTACTTTCCATCGTTAATTCTGCAGTCTCACTTTCTACAGGACCAACGCTCACTTTGCTAATTCTTCTCTTCTTTCAATATTTATGGAAGTGCTAATAGTCTGTTTTCATGTTTCCAGTCAGCTTTTTCTCATACTCTATTTGGGGCAGCCCAGTGACACACTGGTTAGCACTGCTGCCTCACAGCACCAAGGATCTGGGCTTGAAGCCAGCCCTGGTCGACTGTTTGTGTGGAGTTTGCACATTTCATGCACGTTAATGGAGTCTTGGTAGGATGCTGTTTGGAGTGTCAGTAAAAACCTGATGGGCTGAATGGCCTCGTCCTGCATAGTAAGGATTAAATTTATTCACACCTTCTTTTTGATTATATTTTGCTTTTTTATATATATGTTCTGTACAATCACTGACCTACCACCTGTTTTTGCATAGTTATGTCTCTGTTAGTTGGATGTTCTCGTTCATGTATTAAGTTAACCAGAGATGGAGGGTTAGAATTGTTCTTATTCTTGCATTGTATCAATTCTGTGTATCCTGAAATATCCCCTTAAATGTCTGCCACTGACTCTCCATTGACTTATCATTTATGATCCTATTGAATGGTGAAGCAGTATTGAGGGGCCGAAGGGACTGCTCCTGTGCCTATTTCTTAAGCTCTTATGGTCTTAACTAACTTGCCTATTCACCTGCACTAGTTCTGATTTTATACCCTTATAATTCGTCTTATTTAAATTTTAATGGATAGTCTGGGACCCAATTCTCTATTTCTCAAACTGACTCTAAAATTCATAATGATATACATAATAATATTATAGTTGGTGCAATCTATGGGTGTCCTTACTATGAGATTATTTATTAATCCTATCTCATCGTATTCTATCATGTCTTGAATAGCCTGCTGTTTGGCCGGCTCCAGAACGTGTTGTTGTAGACTACAGAAGTAAAAACTACAGGGAAAGAATGACAGGTCAATGTTGTTTTCTAATTTTTTTGTTAATCTGTGCTGATTGGGAGGCACAACCCACATTTCGCATGTAAACTTGCTGCCTAGCTTCATCTTTATTATTGAATAAATGTTTCCTGAGTTACATCGCTGTTACAGTCCATCTCCTACTGCCTGAATGGGAAATGCCTCAAACAAATAAATAAACATCCTAAGTGCACACTCACACAACTTGGGTTTGAAAGAAAAGCTTGCAGTATGCATGTCAAATTATTGTATGTCCAATCACAGGTTGCTTTTTCTCTAAACTTCCTGTTGCTCTTTCAGTCTGCACTGGTCTCTAATCAAAGCACTCAATTAAGAATCACGCAGTGTGTGTAAATCTTCAGAAGGTTCTTTGAACTTGAATTGCTCTCTCTACTGTCTACATCGACAACACCCACCTTACACAGTGCAAGTATCGATCTCTCAGTGCTGGAGGGCATCCTATTGCCCCTCATACTTTGAGAGTCCTCATGCCATCCTTAGCTGGATGGCAAGCACATTCCCTGGCAACAAATTGGCCTCCACATTAGAAAACATGACAGTCACTGGCGCAAAGCAAGATCACGACCTGGATATGCACTCAGTCATAGGCTCATGACTCCAGTACAATATGCAGCTCATTGACTTCTAAACTTAATTTTGAAAGAAATTAAATTAAATGTAAAATTTTTACATACTTGTCTGGAATGACGTTACAAATCGACGTGGGAGAGCAAGGTGTGAAAGTTGGAACTGGCACACATGATTGATTCTGAGGAGCTGAATCGCAATATGGTTTACTGGGGTCATCAACCTTCCAATCAAGTGCAGTTTTATGGCAGCAATCAGAGGACTCAATTACCCCGTTTGGTCTCACACAGTCATCCCTTGTACTACTTGAACAAGTGCCTAAAAGAGATCACGGAAAAAAAAGCATAACATTTCTGCATTTCCAATGGCAAATTTAAAATTAGCAGAACCTTTAGCTCTGCAACAAAGCACAAACATGGAAAGTAACATATCATGAATAGATGAAACTACATACCACACTGTCCTTGGGTATTGTTGTAGAAAAACCTTTCTGACACAATGATTCTAAAGTCATTCCGAGCAGCTATGATCGTTGTTTTAATGTCATTGAAGTAAAGACGCACACTCCTGGCATTTCGATTGGTTACCATTACTTCATCTGCTTTGTAGGGAATTTTTTTTGGCTTTTCATTAACTCTCAACTGTAAGATTAAAAATACAGTTTTGTTGAAATCAGTGCCCAAAAGAGCAACCTACCTAAGAAGTCTTGGAAGTTAATTTGTACATTGTTAACTTTAACAAAAGCAAAATATTTTGTGGATGCTGGAGATCCAAAGCAAAATTTAAAAATTCTAGAAACACTTAGGCAAGTCAGGTATCACATGTGTGGAGAGGCATAGAGTTAATGGAAAGAGTTTGAACAGCCTCCAGAAGGCAGCAATAAAGTGGCTATCCTGGTAAAATTGCAAGGAGCAATGGTAGATTGGTCGCTGACCATAACCGGCCATTCGAAAAATTTATTGACAGTGGAAACCACATCAGATAGGCCTCTCTACTCAAGGAAACAATTTAGCAGGTTGAGCCTCCTCCCCTACCCTGTCAGCATCAGTGAGAATTCTAACTAAATGTAGGCAGTGAAAGGGACTGCATCTTTAATCAAAGAGGACACCATCTGGGAGGCCAGTCCCTAGGGCATCAGCATTTTCCGAGGCAGCATCTCCTCTAGCAATGGCAAGTAAAATTATAATTTTATTTAAAGATTTCTTCACCATTCTAGCTGCAGGCTCTAGGGAAACTCCCTTCATCATCACTGGCCAACTTTCCAGGAGTTGGTGTTGTTGAGGTCCTGGATTGGGCTGGTAGCTCTCAGAGACATGCAACCATCCTGAACTCTGTGGCAGCCCAAGAAGCAACTATGTAATGAGCTTCTGACTGTAAGATGTGGGATGGGGCAGAAGACACAGGGGCATCCATTGGAATAACCAGCCAAACAAGTTGCTGATGCAGTCGCAGCCAATGTTGGGACTTTGCTGGATTTGAGAAAATCTTGCCCAATAGTTTAGGTCAATGAATTTTTCATGAGAACAGTATTTTCATCATATTCTGTTTTTTTAGTTGTTAATTATGTGAGATTTATTATCCTTTCACTCCCCCAGAGAAGTAGGACTGGACTTTCAGCAAGATCAGGTCTGGAGGCAGGTGGGTCTGGAACTTCCTGCCATTGGCTGCTGTGCCAATTTCCTGGCACTATCCCAAACCTGTACCGTATTCAAGCAGACAGGGTCAGGTCAAAATAACTATCTGCTGCTGAGCAAACAGATAGCCGATAAATCAAAAATCAGAATCTATTATGAAAGATGTATAGCTTGAAAGCACAAAGTAGAATTTTCTCCTCATCAGAATGGACCTCTGCAATGGTCGAAACATTGCCAGGCGACACAGAGGTGGTTTTTCATCGGCAGGTCAGGTGACAACTCTTCACAGATATTTAAACCATATCCCCCCCACCATGCCTTTCTCTATTCCCCACCCCCATGCCAATATGGAAATATTATCACATCTGCAACCACAAACCAACCTCCCTCCATCCCACAAAAGGGGTGTCCCTACAGCTCTGGCAGCTGTTGTTATTCTTGACTATTCCAAAAGTGCTCAGAAGCTATGTTTAACTTGAGTGCACTGTCTCTTTCTCTCTCTCTCTCTGTCATGCCCACATCAGCAACTTATCACTCTCTTAACATTTGAGAGGTTCCCTATTGCCTCTGCAGTGCTAGGAGATCACCCATTATCCTTAATTAGACCCCAGCATAGCTTTTGGCTGTTAATTGGCCATTTTCTTTGAAAATGACAGCGGGTGGCTATTTCCCACCTTGCAAGATCAAGACCCTGATGTTCTCCTGGCTTTGGGTTCCTGAGCCCCATTTGAAGGTCAGGCTCATGGGATCCAATTAGAGTGCCCCATCAGTTTAGTTGGTGCAACACAGATCAGCAACTGCACAATTTAATTGTTGACCACACAATGATGAGCAGGGAAGGCTGAGTGGGTCCTGATAGAGGTGTATAAGATTATGAGGGGAATGGATAGGGCGTCTAGAAAGCAGTGTTAGTCAAAGAGTCAGTAACAAGGGGGCATAATTTTAAGGTGAAAGGCAAGAGGTTCAGAAGGGATTTGAGAAAAAATAAAATCACCCACCCAGAGGGTGGTCAGGGGTCTATAATGCACTGCCTGGGAAGATGGTTGAGATGGGTAACTTTGAACCCTTTAAAAAGTATGTGGATTAACAGCTGAAATGCCATAAGATTCAAGGCTATGGTCCTAGTGCTGCAAAGTGGCACAAGTGTAGATTCAATGTAGCTTTAGTGGTACAGACTTGATGGACTGAAGGACTTCTTCTGTACTTGATTAGTCTACGATCCTTATGAATTTGGAGTGAATCAGTTACCACTCTTTGAATAAAAACCAAAAGAACTGCGGATGCTGTAAATCAGGAACAAAAACAAAGTTGCTGGAAAAGCTCAGCAGGTCTGGCAGCATCTGTGAAGGAGAAAAGAGTCAACATTTTGAGTCTGATGACTCTTTCTCAGAACTTTGAAAGTTACATTGATTTACACGTTGGATTGTAATACATAAAAAAACAGAATACTTACCACAAAGCCATAATTAGTTGAAATAGTGATCTTATCTCCTCTGTGAAAAATAATTAGTCCTTTTGGGCAGGAATATGGGAAACTTGGAAAGCAGAAGTAATTATCCACTAGAACTTTGAAATTGTATTTTGGATTTTGTTCTTCCATTAGAATGTATGTGCAGTTTTCATAGAAATTATACGCCAGCCCATTGAAAGTTAGATAGTGTGGATCACCCCACACTCTACATTCACCTAAAATATAAGCAAAATATGGTTTGCCAGTATTTTTGTGAAGGGAAGTAAAAGGAATAACATTGATGGCATTCAGATATTCTAATGAAACAGTAACAAGATCAGGAAGGTGATACTAACAGCCACATTCCCAAGACAGGCAGCCACATTCATTTATTACTTCAATGGGCTTTAAATGGTTAGGACATTCAGGCTTCTCCTGTTTGCAGACTTTTTCAATGACAGTTTTTCCTTGCACACAGCTTTTAATAGCACAGTTTTCTTTCCATGTTCCAGTGCACTAGTATAAGAAAGAAAAAGATTTGCAATAAAATGATCAGCAGAAGTCTTAAATCATTTTCCAACCAATTAAATACTTTTGAAGTCTAGTCTCTGTTGGAATCTAGGAATCGCAACAGCTAATTTGAACACACATAACTCTCACAAACAACAATGAGTTCATGACCAGAGATAAGCTGTTTAGTGCTGTTAAATAAGGGATAACTGTTGACCAGGGCACCACTACTGTTCTTTAAATAGCATCACACGATCTTTTACATCTACTCAAGCAAACAGATGGGGTGTCAATTTCACATCTTATTCAAAAGATAACACTTCTGACAATGCAACACTGAACTGCAAGTCAAACTTGATTTTTGTGCTTTTAAGCCCTGGAGTGAACTGAACTGAACTCAGAACCTTACCAAATAAATTGACAATGTAGGTAAAAGTTCATTGGATTAGTAAACATGTGGATTGCTTTATTACTGTTCCTTTTAATTCATATACTTGGACGTGCTGTTGCAGGAAGTGTGACAAGGAAGCTAGATATGTTACAGGTTGAGGGAGGCCCTTTACCAAACCAAAATTCACCAAACATTGTAATGAGACATTCAGTCATGTAAATATATGACCATGGGCCATAGCAGCAGGTGAAGAATGTAGGAGATAGCAAGAACTGCAGATGCTGGAGTCAGAGTCAATACAGTGTAGAGCTGGAGAAACACAGCAGGTCAGGCAGCATCAGAGGAGCAGGACAGTCGATGTTTCGGGCCTGGACCCTTTATCAGGACAGATGAAGGGTCCAGGCCCAAAGTGTCAACTCTCCTGCTCCTCTGATGCTGCCTGATCTGCTGTGTTCCTCCAAGTCCACATTGTATTGTGGTGAAGAATGTAGTCTACTGGTTTAAGGAAGAATACCCATCAAATATTATCTTAAAATCGTCTGCTCAAAAGAAAGCCAGTGTGTTGTGTTTGCATTAAAAAAAGAATCAGGCCAAAGAAACTTGAATCTGTGTACAAAACTAAGCATCTCAGAAAACATGGTTCAACTACCAATGTCAATGTTACCAGTAACCTCTATTACAATGGCTGCAATATTCAGCTATCCAGTCTTCATGAAGAATTCAGAGAATCACCCCTATAATTTCTTTTTGCTGTTAATTTTTTGATCTCACCTCTTATTCTAATCTGTGTGTACGTGAGTTGCATTAATAATATTTTCATTATAAAATTCAAGGCAGTCTGGTTAAATTGGATTCTTTACAAATATAAGTTCATTGAATCTTGGAGAAAAGCACCCACAAGGGACAGATCCTTTTAAAATTAAGACAACAAGGTGCAGGGCTGGA